GATAAGTGGTTGATTCTAGAGTTAGAGCAGAGAAAATATAACATGAGCCTGGAACATCTTATAGTGTCCTAAAGTAAGAAAGTGCTCAAACAAGGATAGGACATTTTACAAGGATATAGGAACATAATGGAAAAGCACTCACAATCACCAAAGTTGGAACAATTTAAATTAAAAAAATAAACAATGGTAGTATTAGATTACTACTCAGAGAATAAAATAAATATCCAAGAACCCATACTGATACACATAATTGTACAAATAAATGAGTAGGAGAGAAAAAAACAGTTCTTCTTTACAAAAAAAAAAAAAAATGCAATAAATAAGTAAAAATGGAAAGAAGATAATTTTTCTTAAAATCACCATTAGGCAAACATCAGTTAACCTTGTGGGAGATAATTTGAGACTATTAAGGACTAAATGCCATGTGGGATCCTATACTAGATCGTAGAACAAATAAAGAACATTACTGCCCGGCCAAAGTGGCTCATTCAGTTGAGCATAATCCTGTGCACCAAAAGGTTGCTGGTTTAATTCCCACTCAGGACACGTACCTGAGTTGTAGGTTCTAGTCCTGTATGTGCCTGGAACAGGCACATACAGAAAGCAACCAACCAATTGATGTTTTTGTCTCACATCAATGTTTCTCTTTCTCTTCCTCTCTCTCTTTCTCTCTCTCTCCCTCCCTCCCTCTCTCCCCCTCTTTCTAAGAATGTCTTCAAGTGAGGATTAAAAAGAAGAAGAACATTTAGTGAAATTCAAATTAGGCCTGTAGTTGAGTGGTCATTATTCCACCAATATTAATTTCTGAGTTTTGATAACTGTACTATAGCTCCAGAAGAGAAATAAGAACGAGAATCGTTTCAAGCCAAAGAAAGTAGAAGAAAGGAAGTAGTAACCAATCTCTAGCAAGAATGAGATCAAGGAAAAAAGAAATAGAAAAAAAAGGGCAAAAATAATATTCAGAATTAAATTTGTTTTTCTTTATTGATTTTTAGAGAGAAAGGGAGAGATAGAAACATTGATGAGAGAGAACATCAACTAGCCGCCTCCTGCATGCCCCCACTGGGGATTGGGCCCACAACCTGGGCACGTGCCCTGACCAAGAATCGAACCGTGCATGGGTCAATGCTCAACCACTGAGCCACACCAGCTGGACTATTCAGAATTTTTTTAAAGTGCATAATTCCAACACTAACAGAGCACGGGAACAAGGGAGGGAGGTACAGCGGATGCAGTTAGAAAGGAGGCAGAGTTCAAATGCTGGGTGAAGTAGTGAAAACAGACCAATTAGGAGGTATCTGGAGAAGTTCAAGAGTAAGTAACAGTGGAATGAACTGGAAAGAAGAGTAGAGACAGAAAACTCCTTAGATGTGGGTTATATTTTAGAAGTAGAGCTGACAGTATATGCTGAAGGACTGAATATGGGTTTGAGGGAAAAACATGAAGGTAGTAAAGATAATTATTAAGGATAAAACCACTAAATAAAATCCCTACCTCAGCATACAGACCTAAACAACATTCTACCTCCAGCTTCAGCTCTTATTAATCCGACTCACTTAGCTAACCTTTCAGTTATACTCAAGTTCTCACCCTTCACCTAGCATGTCATGCCCTTTCAATCTGTTGCCTCTTTCTGGAATGCTCTAATTCTTCATTAAAGTCTTACTCATCTTTCAAGACTCAGCTCAAATGTCATCTCTATGACACTTTTCACTAATCTTCCAGGCATGATTAGTCACTCCTTTCTCTGGCTTCACTGTTTATATCTAGCAGCAACAATACTGTTAGAGTAACAGATGTTAACATTTACTGAGGGTTTATTATGTTTCAGGCACTGTTATAAAACTATTACATGGATTATTTTATTTCATCCTATAAAGAATCTTATAAAGTACTATTATTATGCCCTTTATATCAAGAAACGGAGGTATAAAAAGATTAAATCAGTTGTCAAAGTTTACACACCTAGTAAGTGCCGAAACAAAGACCTGAACTGAGGCATTATGGCTCTAAAATCCATATGCAACCTCCCAAGGAGCCAAAGGATGGGAAGTTAGTGGGAATGTAAACGGGTACAGTTGCCGCATGGAAAATAGTATGACAGTTCTTCACAAAGGCTAAAAACAGAATTACCACCTCATCTAGCAATCCCAATTCTAGGTACATATCCCAAAGAACTGAAAGCAGGACCTCCAAGATGTATTTTGCACATCCAGGTTCATAGCAGCATTATTCCCTCTAGTCAAGAGTTGGAAGTAACCCACATTTTATGAATGGGTATGGTGTACACATACAATGTAATATTATTCAGTCTTAAAGTGGAAGATTCTGACACGTGATAAAAAAATGGATGAACCTTGAGGACATGAGTGAAACAAGGCAGTCACAAAAAGAAAAATACTGTACTGTTCCAATTATAACAGGTATCTAAAGTAGTCAAATTGATGGAGACAGAAAATAGAATGGTGGTCGCCAGGGGTTAAGGGGGGAAGGAATGGGCGGTTATTGTTTAATGGGTATAGATTCAGTTTGGCAAGATCAAAAGGGTTCTGGAGATTTGCTGCACAACAATGTGAATAGACTTAACACTACTGACCTGTACACTTAAAAATGGTTAAGATGGCAAATTTTACATTATGTTTCTTACTACAATTTAATTATTATTTAAAAAATAAAAATAAAAATGTGGGAAGAGCTCTGGCTGGTTTGGCTTAGCAGTTAGAGCACTGGCCCATGAACTGGAGGGTTGCAGGTTCGATTCCCCATCCTGATCAGGGTCAAGACAGAGGCAACCAATCAACGTGTCTCTCTCACATCGGTGTTTCTCTCCCCAACCACCTCCTTTTCACTCTATCTAAAAATCAATGGAAAAATATCCTTCCGTGAGGATTAACGAAAAATAAAAATAAAATAAATAAATATAAATTAAAAAACATGGGCCCTGGCCGGTTTGGCTCAGCGGTTAGAGCGTCGGCCTGCGGTCCGGAGAGACCCGGGTTCGGTTCCCGCTAAGGGCATGTACTTCGGTTGCAGTTTGTCCCCGGCCCTGGTTGGTCGTGCGGGTGGCAGCCACTCGATGTGTCCCTTTCACGTCGATGTTTCTCTCTCTCTCTCTCCCTCCTGCTCTATCTGAACAAAGAATGAAAAAGTGTCCTCGGGTGAGGATAAAAAAAAAACATGGGAAGCTATGTCTATGGAACAGAGATATATGGTACTATTATATATGTAAATCAGAAATTAAAGATGTTTGGGGAAGATTGAATCTGACTATGAAGAACCTTAAATGCTAAAATGAATAAAAATGAGAAAGTATTTAAACCTGGCTCACAGCAGAAAAGCATCCTATAAATCAATACCTAGATGTATCTACACTCTCAAAAGCAACCAAGCCTGGGGATCTAAAACAGAAGAAAAGTTTGCTCATTTTGAAATATTGTTTTTATTAAGCTATACATTCTTAAGGCAACCATATTATAAAGCCTTTCTAACTGATTCACTGTTTAACAAAATAAGGTTTAGCTTCTTATGTTCCTAATCAAAATTTGATTTTGGAGTATCAGTAAACCCTATGTGATTTCTAAAATACTCTTCATTCTGGGAAGCCCTCAGGTTTTGAGATTAAAAAACAACACAGAATAAATTTCAGGTTAAAGACAGACAAGAACTAGCTGGATAGAGTTAGAAAAATTACTTAATCTCTCCATGCTTCACATTCCCCATTTGTTAAATTGGGATAATGCTACCTACCTCACTTGGCTGTCATGGGAATTAAATGATATAATATGTGTAAAGAATCTGATATGGTGAGTAGTGTCGAGTACAGGTACAATAAATAACAATTTAGGGAAATTTAAGATTTTTATTTTCAATTTTAGGTTAATTAACATTAACAAGAAAAAAAACTGAATTTAGATTTTTATTAAGCCTTGTGACGCACACTGGCTCAGTACCTGGGCGTTAAAGGTGGCAGATTTTTTTGGCATGTGAATCCATGACATGTCAAAAAAGACTAAATGGAGACATTAACGCATGCAGTTACACATACAATAGTGAAGGGGAATTCCAAGGGCGGGACTTGTCTGCAAATTGAACGTAATTTAATTTAGAAATTTTGAGATTTAATAGGCTTTCAAAATAAATTTAGAAAGAGTTAAATGTAAATGAACTAATACCCCTTTTGTAATTCCTACACATTTACAGTGGGGTAATATATGAGAAAGCACTAGAAACTATAACAAATCTAGTTATTCTTTGTAATCTGGCATTATAAAAAAACATTGTAGTTATATGTAACAGAAAATATAAAGTATTTTTCTTCTTGATTCTTTTTTATTCCTATTTAATGAACAATTCAAATGTCGAGATACAATGTTCAAAAGCTCTAAATAGGTAGGTGGAAAGTTAGTGATTTGTTTCAGGAGGAAGCAGGAATGAAGGAGAGGTTTAAACTATGCTCTATTTTAAATTTGAATTTTTCATTAACTTCCTTTTTATAATCACATTTAAGGCAAAAGGGAAAAAAAACTCGAGATAGTTCTCATAGTGAAGATTTTCTAATAGTCTCAATTTTTACTAAAACCACATTCTAAATCTATTAGCTGCACTTTTCAACAATCAAATACAAAGCCTAAAATACAACTGCATGTACAGGTTGTATATGCTCACACACATGTATAAGAAAAAGGGCAGGTATGAGGTTTCCAAGCCTCTTGGAGAATTAGTTATCATTTAAAAAAACAAAATCACTCATGTGAAAAATAAAATCATGGTACATTTGATTTATTTTTAAAGGAACCATCATATTTTACAGAGTATATTAGTAAAACATGTTCATTATATAGTTTACATATTTTGTGTGAAAATTAATTGTAATCATTTTTCTATCTTAAAAAGTCTATATATTACATATATGCATATATGTACACACATGTGCATATTTATTTTTTCACTTTGTATAGAGATATTTAGGAAGCATTAAATACTATCATTGATAAACTTACGAATCAACATGCAGAACCTTCTGGCCACTTCTTGAACATGCAGCCGCAATGATGGATTCAGGCAAACCTATAAAAACACATACCTATATCATTTAGAATGTAGAATATATATAAAAATATATAAAATGCAAAATGTTCGATTCATGTCATAGCTGTATAGAAGAGTTTAACAAAGTAAGTTTATCTTTGTATTCTAAACCATGATGTGCATATTATTTATACCATTGGATGTTTCTTTTTTTTTTTATCCTCACCTGAGAACATTTTTCCATTTTTTATTCAGATAGAGCAGGAGGGAGAGAGAGAGAGAGAAACATCGACGTGCAAGGGACACATCAAGTGGCTGCCACCCGCACGACCCAGCCAGGGCTGGGGACAAACTGCAGCCGAGGTACATGCCCTTAGTGGGAACCGAACCCGGGTCTCTGTGGACTGCAGGCCAACGCTCTAACCACTGAGCCAAACCGGCCAGGGTGGATGTTTCTTAAACAGACTACTAATGCTGAAATTTTTATTATGTGGAAGAGATATTTTTTAAAAACAACTACCTAAATTATTTTTATCAGCAAAGGATCAGAAATGAGCAACTGTCAAAAACTGTTGATATAGCATTTCGTTATTTAGGAACTATGTTCACACACTAGATCATTTGACAATCTCAATTTCACTGAGAGAGAAGCATCTGCATACTGGGGTGCAAACGTGTTAACTTGTTGCCCAATGCTCCAAGAAAACAAAACAAGATCTCGAGCTGCCCAGCTGGTGTGGCTCAGTGGATTGAGCGTCATTCCATGGACTGGGAGGTCCTGGTTCCATTACCGGTCAGGGCACATGCCCAGGTTTCGGGTTCAGCGTGCAGGGGGCATGCAGGAGGCAGCTGATCGATGTTTCTCTCTTGCATCAGTGTTTGTCTCTCTCTCTCTTCCTCTCTAAAAAAATCAATGAAAACATACCAAGGAGAAAAAAAAAATAGTTGTAGAATTGAAATCTGAACCAAAATCTAACTCCAAAGCCACAGTGCCTGTGACGGGGAATGGCATTCATTCACTTAAGCAATGGGTTAGCCAGTTTAAAAGAGGCCATTTACAAGATCTAGTATTTTACTTTCTGGTTAACAGAATAGTTTGAAAAGAACATTACTGTTTTGGAATCAAATTAAGCCACACCATAAAATTGGTTATCATAAAAGGAAATACATATTACTATTCTCCATATCAACAAAAACAATAAAAAGTACCAAAGATAATGATTTTATAATTGAAACAATCAGGTATTCAGCTATATCTGCAAGTTAATACCCTATGTTGAAGTTCAAGACTCTCCCACAACTTTTTATTTTAAAGAGAGAGAGAAAAACATCAACGTGAGAGAGACACATCAACTGGTTGCCTGCAGGACCCCAACCGGACCCAGGGACTGAACCGCAACCGAGGTACATGTCCTGGGCCAGAATCGAACCTGTGACTCTTTGGTCTGTGGGCCGACACCCTACTGCTGAGCCAAACCGGCCAGGGCATCCCACAACTTTTCATATACTAAGATCTACCATTTCAAGAGAGGATATTAACTATTTTCTGTCCATCAGACAAACAAAGCATGTTTTGAAAGTTTAGTGCAATTCTATTGTGCTACTCTACTGACTTTTTCACTGCAATGAAAACACCTTGATCTTCACCCTTCTTTTGGCAAGCATTTAAACTACACACTATGCATCAAGGATTTCAAGAAAATGGAACAGTTATCTTCTTTACGTAAAAAGCAATAGGCATATGGAAGCAATTGACATCGTGGATCTCTACTTAAAAACCACATTAAAGACAAGCTCCAGCTGTATTCACCAAAGAACTAGAGTTTTCCAGTGGTGAACACTTTGTGGGTATATATGGCTTGGTTCAAAAAGAAGTTCTGACCAAAAGTGCTGTATACTGCCATTAAACATCGATTATTAGAAATAAGTCATCATGAATTTTCAACTTCGGATATAATTCAAAGAGAAAACAGAGTGAGAATTTGTGTTGTACAAGGAAATGGGAGACAGGAGAGTTTTAAATAGTTAAGCGGACGTCTTCAAACAGTTAAAATTGTATTGTTCCACTGTCTTTTATCTTGACTATTTCAACTTTTTACACCTAAAGAAATAACTTTTCTTATTAATGAAATGCAGTCACTATGGTACTTCAAAAGCTGCTATACAGCTTAGTTAAAAAGGATAGCAGCAAAGACATATTCAAGAGGCAGAATTAGTATGTTAAAGTAACAATGACAGCATTAATAATGCATTACCAAACATTAATTAACAGGGCTTCTACGGTTCACAATATATTTTCACATACATTGTCTCATTTATTCCTCATTAAAATCCTGGGAGGCAGGCAGTATAACCCATGTGAGAAATGGGATGAGAAAGGTTAAATAACTTGCCAAAGGTCAAGTAATTCAGTAATTCGGTATCTCGAACTCAAATTACCAGGGTAAATTCACTCTGTCCAACTTGGATAGGAGTCTAAGGATCAGGATGTAAGTGCAAAACAGCAATCCAATGAAAGGAGAATGGTCTCAGTCAGACAGACCTAGACTTGAATCTTAGTTTTGCTGCTTAACTAGCTGTGCGACCTCAGACAAGTCACTTGACTTCTCTGAGACTTTGTTTCTTCATCAACGGGAAATACAACCATTTATCTCACAGAATTATTCAGCTGTTAGCAGAGGGAACTTGCTCAATGAACATACCTACTTTTATTATTCTTTATACAGATAGTTTAAAAATACTATATTGTTGTCTAAAGACTACTGCAAACATACACCTATTTTTATCAGATGCCCACTCCAATGGTAAACAATAATAAAATTACTCTCCTCTATTTGGCCCAAATTAGCTGTTACTTTGTATAGACAAATACACATGTGGTTAGCATATGGTTACTTCCACGGCTGTGATCAACACTGTCAGAAGTCATGTCTCTGCTGACAAAGCAAAGCCAAGAATGGATTTCAACACTGAACATGATTTGAGTCCAAATTATATAAAACCAAAATGACTATCATTTGTGTTTTCCCTTAGTACTTCCATCCAGGCATCTCCACAAGTTTGTGAAATTGATAGGCTGTTCCTATGTTAAATGGGCCTATTAACTTCATGGTTAGAATGAATAAAATAGTCTAATAATACAGTTAGTAATATCTTCCTGGCCAGAATTTCATATTTCTTCCCACCTATTTAATAAACCCTGACTTCTTGAACAGAGGAGGCACATGGTGGTTTCTCTGTAAATATTTTTTAAGGAAAGGGGGAAAGGGAAAATGAGGAAAGGGAAGAGGGATGGGGCAGACTGTGATAGGTAGTGAGGAAAAATGAGCGAAGCTTAAGGCAATTCCTAGCCTAAATGAGCTCAGAGTGTAAAAAATGTTAATTTAAGTAGATTACAATAATAAATGTGTAGTTAAAAGTGTTATAGGAACACAATGGAAACAAGCATTCCTTCTGTAGAGGGGAGTCATGGAAAGCTCCTAAGAGCAAGGGACACTAGGTTGGTGTTTCGGGATCTGCAACAACCCAACTAAAGAACACAGAAGAAGGAAAATGTGGACGGAAAAAGGAAGGTAGAAGGGGGTATTCCTGGTAAATGATGAAGGAAGAGAGAACCAAAAGGTGATGCTCAAAAGGGTGGCTGGAGCCTAACTGTGGAGTCTGACTTGGACCTTGTAAGCAACAGGGAATCTTGAAAGCATTTTAGCCAGAACAGCATGGTCAAATCGGTGTTGCAGGAAAACAATTCTATTCACAGAATGAAGGATGAACTTACATTAAATCTGAACTTTAAGTGGCATGATTTTTTTGTAATTCTTGTTTAGGAATAAAGTTAACATAAACTTTGCAGTGTTATCGATAATTTAGGAAAATTAGTAAAATAATTGTTTTGTCTAAATTGGTATTTATAAGTGAACTTAATAGCATTTAAACTGATTTCAAATTAGTTTTAAATAATTTAATAGCATTTGACTGATTTCAATAAAATCATTTTTTAACACTTGGCACCATAAAAAGTGAACTATTTCCAAATCATTTCTCAAATTCACATACCATTCCTATGAGGGCATTTGTATTAAATATATATAGGCTTGCAATGAATTATACAATCTCTCCCACTAGGAAAAGCCATACATGAGTTAGAAGCAGATAACCCAGATCAGGGTCAGATCACACAGTATTACACTGGAAACACACTGTAAAATATGTGAGTAAAGATATACAAGTACAATGTGTTTCAGCTGAAATATAGGGCTAATAATACATCTCATAGGGGTGTAGGCAGGAATAGGTACAAAATGATATAAACACCTTACACAGTGCCTCCTAGCATGTCACTGACAATAAATACTGGTTTTCTTTCTACTCCAACAGATTAGTTATTTCAAGGGAAAAAAAAAAACTATAACTTGTTTACTATTTACTTAAGTTATCTTCAAAGATCTAAAAACTGAATCGTTTTTTTAAAGTCCAATAACCTTTTTATATGTATACTATAGGCCTTCTCTATATGTACACAATAGAAGTTCATCAAACAATATCATTTACACATTTCACATTATGAAATATGATTATTAAATTCATTAGTGAAGGTGTATCAAGTAAGCCTGCCAAAGGATTATAGGAAAAATGTAGAATTCTGATGCAAGACCAGCAACTTTTATAGGCAAGTCATTTTCATCAAACACAGGTAAACAGTAAGTATTAAATTAACATTTCATAACAATCCGTACTGGGGGAAATTGAGGTCTTACATGTCTTACATCCTGCCCTTCTCAGATGAGGTTCTGTTATAAACTTGGCAGCTAGAAAAATATATTAGAAGCTTACAGAATGTTACATGTTCATCTAACAAACAAAAATGCATAGTCCCAACTTTCTGCAATTTTCCAAACCTGTCTAAATAAAAGAGATGTAAAATCAAGAACAAGCAGGAATGAAATTAATATTTTCAAGAATGTTATCTAAAACATTTTATAAGAATGAAAATTGGTTCATTTTTCAAAAATCCCCTTTTAATCCAATTT